GCCGCCTCGGCACGACTCACTTTTGCCTATGATGAATTAGAAGAAGGGGCAGCCAGTGAGAGATCCCTTATGCTTTTCTTGTTTAATCCCACTGCTTGTACACTCTTGCCCATGATGTAGCAGCCGTGTGTGTACCATAGCTGCAGCACAAGCCCGCGATATATATTGCTCGTGTGTGATCGTGCGTGTATTTTCTTTGTGGACTCGCTATTCTCGTTGCTGCTATATTCCTTCCATGTGAACTCTATGGGAGGCTATAAACACACACGTACACACAGCCGGCTAGAAATAGTCCTTCTTTTTTTTCTTCTCTTCTCTTTTCTTTCTTAACCCATGCAAATCCTGAATCGGTTATGCGCTAGACTACTGACGCCGCTACTACTGCTGCTACTGTGTTGCCTGTATTCAAATAAGTTTTTGACTACACGTTGCCGCTGCCGCCGCTGCTTCTTTCGTGTACGTATAATATCGATTTAAAACTTCGTCCTCGCGCGCAGACAATGGACCACGGCGCAGTAGCAGCAGCAGCAGCAGCAGCAGCGAGTTAGGAAAATATTTTTGAATATTTCAACAATGGTCGCTCCTTTTTCTCTTCTACGTCCTCGTCGTGAAACAGGTGAAAAAAGAGGGAGAGAGAGGGAGAGAGACAGAAGGAAAGAAAGCCCCCCCCCCCCTGAGCGAAAAGCTGAAGCTTTTTACAGGATGATAAAATCCAGAAAACGACTTGTTGGAGCTCCTGACCTCGTTTTTCTCTTATATATACGGCGCGCGGCTAGCGCAGCACACACACACACACATCTATGCACTGCTACTGTGTGTCTAGGAGGCAAAATACGGCGGCAGCGAGCCGAGAGTATTTTTTTTTGTTCTCCGCGCGCTTATTTTGTCGATTATATATGTATATCGGTACGTAGTACGTATTATACTTTTGCGCTAGCTCGTCCTCGTATATATACACTACGCGCGGAGAACAGCTCGAAAATGAAAGAAAAGTTTCGCTCGTAGCTATGGCACAGAAGCTCCCTTACTATCACTACTACTAGTACTACTACAATGTATAGCCGCCGCCGCTCTAACACAGCTGATAAGCCTTTCCGCTTAATGAGCTAAGTTTGAAGATGTCTGCTCTCCACTCGAGCTTTGGCGCGCGCTCGCTCGCTCGGCGCGGCATAAAGACTCATAAAATGCTCTTGAATATGGAATATAAAATAACTCCGCGCTGCCCGAGGAGAGCCGAGAGAGAGAGAAAGAGAGAGAGAGAGACAAGGGGTAAAATAGTTTCACGCGCTTACAATTTGCAGTAAAAAAATCAAGTGCCTTGCGCGAGCGAGCCCGAGAGGATTATCTTGCCGAAAAATCGTCGCGCGTCGATCATCGGATCCTATCAGCAACATTGAGCTCGCTCGCCTGGGTATATATAGAGCCGAGGAAAAAAAAGTTTAAGGAAACGTTAGACGTCGTAATCTTGCTTGTTCTCGCTGCGCTGCGCTTGGATCGTCGTCCTTTTTTTCCCTCCTCCTCCTCCTTTTTCTTCTTCTTCTTCTTCATCCTCGCGGCAAAAGAGAACGTATTATACTTGTGCAGCAGCATTGTGTATACGTATACGTGCATGTTTGCACATATGCAGAGCTGCAGCCAAGTTCAATTACACATACGTGTGTGTGTGTGTGTGTAGCTCTGTGCGGTGCGCACACCCGCGCGCGCGAGCTAGGCGACTAGGAAATTGCTATATTTTTCTTGGCTCGCTGCTGCTTTGTGTGTGCACAGCGAGTGCAGCTAGCAGAGCTAGCCAGCAAAGCTACTCTGCTACGTATTATACGTTTTCTGGGTTTATAACGTTTAACTAATAATGAGGTCATCGCGCGCCAGTGACTGAGCGCGACTATATGGGTGTATAGAGAGCAGTCCGACGCAGTATAATAATACGTAGTAGTAGTAGTAGTTGGTATCAGCTCTGCCGCGTTGCAATACCGCGTATTGAGATACGCGTCACGATATTTTCTGACAAAATCAGCGCGTAAACATTGGCTGCCGCTGCTGCTGCACTGCTGTAACAATAACAACGATAATGATACAAGTCGAGATTCGCGCCGCGCGCGAAAAGTCAAAAGATTCTTCTCTCCCCCTCCCGTCCCTCCCGTCCCTCCCTCCCTCTGCGTATCGAGCGCGAGTTGAAATCGAACGCGTTGCGTCTTACATGCAGGATGTATGCCACACACATTTCTTCCGCTGCTTTCTCTTTTGCTCTCACGTGTGTTTGTGTACTGTGTGCGAATCAACCGGAGCTCCGTGTTGTACAGAGCGTTAGATCGTGCCTCGTTAGGCCAGCTTCGCTCTCTTCTTCTAGCTCTCCCTAATATCGCCTAAAATGCTGCTACCGAGCTGCCGATGTTGCAGCCTAGCAGTGGTACCCCGTAAAATTGCGCGCCTGCTTCTGCGAGGCCATTGATTTGTCTTGCCCCAACTCGTACGACGTTTAGCTCTCTGCTCCATCTTTCTCTCTACCCCCCTATATGTATGTGGTGTAATAATAATTTTGGAGCGAGCACGACTACTCGGCCGCGTATAAAAATTTTTTTCCTTTCGTTCATCCATCGCGTACTCCGTTTCTCAGGGCCAGTTTTTCCAGGCTCTATAAATAATATCATTACCAAGTGTGCTACCGGAGCATACACACACAAACACGAGATAAACTCCGGATCGATGAATGGCTCTCTCGAGCGATCTCGATAATTGTTTCGCGCGCCCCGCTCGTGAGAAATTTACTACTTTTTGCTCTCGAGCTCTCCCGTCATCGGTGCGCAACGTCGTCGTCGTCGTCGACGTACTATATATCAATGGGCCGGCATCGATAATATTTTGTACGTATCTGTGTAATAATAAGGCACATAAACATACATGTATCGGCGCTGCAAGTGTGCGTGCGCGTATACGCGAAGCTCCTTCACTTTCGAGCCTGCGCGCGAGCACACAATGCACTGCACGGCGTCATACACACATAGTCATCGGAACAGAATAACCGTATAATGAAAGAGCAGCGCTTATGAGCTGAGCGCGCTTAGTATACGTATATCGGAGCCCCGTACTATAATGTATAACCGCATACTCCCAATCAGTCAACACGCAGGCGGCCGCGCTGTGCTTCGTATAGCTCGCCTCTATCCCAATCCTATACATGTATATTATAGTACAAGAGAACTCGTATCTATATGCAGCACAAGTACAGAGAGCTTCTCTATGTGTATGCGTATGCGTTTGAACACACACATACGTACACGGCCTCGTGCGCAGACGATAGTCGTCGTAGTCGTCGTCGCTCGACTCGACTCACGCGTATTTGCATTGTATTGCCATATGTGCAAACGTGCCGTGAATTTGTAATATACGCACATATAGTGCGGCCTCCCTACTACTGCATGCACACTACCCACCACTACCGTAGCGAGAGAGATCCCCCTCCTTTTTTTTTGTTGCGCAGGATGTGTTTCTTGACTCATGCACGACGACGACGACGACGACGACAACAATGTGCGTAGCTTGCCGACTTTTTACGAGCTAAATTTGAATTACGCTCGCGACGACTACGACGACGACGAGCTTTATGACGTATGCAACAGCGTACATACATATAGTGGTACGCAGGTAACGCACGTATAATACCTACTACGTATGAGCATGATACGTATTACGCAGGTACAGAGTTCGGCCTCTCTTTCTTCTTCTTCTTCTTCTTCTCCTCGGCCTGTGGTGTGGCCCGAGTTTATATATACGATAAGGGACTTTAATCGGGTTTTGTGTATGTAAACGCCGCTGATCGATCGGCCTCAACTCGTTCTCGGATTTTTATGGGGCCGCGTGTTACAATATATTATACGTAAACCAACACGTGACAGTACGATGATCGTCTCTCTGCCTTCGTTAAAAGCTCCGCAATAACGATTTGCGCGTGGAATTACCCAGATAATATATAACTCGTTTTTGTATAATAATAATACGCGCGTGATCGCAGCCACACACAACGTAATAATTGCCTGCGCGCGATCCTCGTCCTTAACTGTAAATTTGCATCTCGCGGCGCGTGTAAAACCGATGTTAATATATAATTGTGACGCGCGCCGCCGCGTCGATTGATTTTTCGAGCGGGGACTTGTTTTTTTTTTTTCTTCGATTCCCGCTGCTGCAACCCGAGTCAAAGTTTAAAATGCCGTATATAAGGTTTATCGGGGATTGCGTATATAGCCTAATTGAAGGTTTGCGAGCGAGTCGCGAGAAGCTTGATTAAAACGCTCGCAAAATACCTTGAAAGTTCCAGTGCTAATGGAGCTATACTACTGCTACTACCGCTAGCTGCTGCTGCTTGCTGTTGGAGTTTATAAATATCGATTGCTTCTACAAAGTGCGACGCGCAAAATTGACCCTCGGCAATGGCCGCGTGCCGCGCGGCTTAAGCTAGGATATATTCTCTCTCTCTCTCTCTCATTGAGACCCCCCTCCTCTCTTGTACCCTACTCCCTGCGGCTATTTCTCTTTTACACAAACACAAACACACACACCAACACGCATAGGGACTTCTCGATTTCTTTTACACTGTAACGCATCAAAGGGGGGTTGTTGTTGGACTAGCAGCACAGCGAGAGGGAAAAAAAATTTTAACCTTACAGCAAAGGGTGCGAGATATCGCCTTTGACTGCTGCTGCTGCTACCTTCTGGCATTTACGAGATAAGATGTGTTTTTAATCTGGCGTTCATTAGGCTTTTATTTATGTTTTAACACTTTTATAAACTCGATAGTGGTAATTCAATTCATTTAGCCGAGCGGCGATCGCGTGCGACGACGCTCCTCTGTTTTTCCGCATCGAATGCGGCGAGCTTGCGACGACCGGGGGACGACACGTATTCCTCGGTCGATTATACATACAATTTTGTAAATTGAAAAACTATATATCGCATGGTGTTGACAGCGAATTTTTAATGAAAATGTGTTTTTTTTTCTGTTACAGAGCCTTTACAAAAAAACCGGATGAGGCCGACTCATCACGAGTAAGTAACCCAGTTTTTATTAATAATTTATGTATCACTTTTGAATCTGCGCAACAGAGAGCAATAGAGTAAATAACGTATATATTCTACGCCGAGTGTAATCAACAATTTAAAGCTCGTGCGCGGCGGCGTTAGTCATCTCGTAAATACTCCTCGGCATCGTCGACGTTTGTTTCGCGCAAATTTCGTCAACACACAAAAAGAGAGCGTATCGTTGGCTATATTTAATAATGAGCAAGGTCATTAGCATATACTCTCTCATTGAACGCCGCCAATGAAAACATCAACAACTACTGCTGCTGCTGCTGCTACTGCGCGCTGTTTACTCGAGATTCGCACACAGCTATGCGTATCGCGCGTTTTCATATATTAAAAACTTTTTCTCTCTCGTCGCGAAAAAAAGCTCCTCCGCTCGCCCCCACGAAACTTTCGCGATATTATGTATATATTAAAAACGGGGGGTACGGATTTCGTTTGTTTAATGAAAAAAAAAAAAAAACATCTCCCAACGCAAGTTAGCAGTGAAAGAAGGCGTGCAATTTAAATGACAAATTAAGCTCGCGCGCACTGCGATTATATTTACGCGGTGTGTATATATCTGGGGTATTTAAACAAACTCGGATCGCGCGCGCGCCGGGCTATATGTATACAGTAGCGTATATATATCTGCATCTCCAAAAGCTCATAAAAGCTTTCATGGCGCGCGCGAAGATTTTCGAGTGTACACGCGTACGCATATATTTCTAAAGCTTCTGCTGCTGCTGCTGCTGCTGCGCTCTCATAAATTCATTAAGCGACTCTGTGGCCGTGTGGCGTGGTGGTGGTGATGGTGTTGGTGGATGCGACCGAAGTGTGTGCGTTACTGCGCGTTACACAGCTACCCACTGCTGCTGCTGCTGTTAGTGTGTGAATTGCGCCGTGTTTATGCTTTGACTTAAACTGTCGCGCGCGGATTAGTAGCGCCACTGACGAGATTTTTATTTCTCGCTCGAGAGAGAGAGAGAGAAGCGGCCCCCCTGCCCGTATAGCAGTTAGGTGTACACAGTACGAAAAAGCTCAACAAGCGCCGTTGTTGCGAGTCAAGATTTTTTTTATCGCTACTCTTTTATCGTTTTTTCATCGCGGCGCAAAACATTTACGACGATCGCGCTTCGCACGAATATACCGCGTATGAAAATAATAACTCCGGAGTATCAATGGGGTCCCGTAGTCGAGTCGTGTTCCTATATAATATGTAACATATTCATAGATACGCGTGTATGTGTGTGTGTGTGTACAACGTATCATTAATTTTCATTCGTACATGTGTTACATATACATACGAGAAAGGCTTTCGAAAGTTTTGCGCTGTAGTAGTAGAGACTACGAACACACACAATTTCGTTGATATAGGAACACGGCTCGTTTTGTCGACTATACTGCCGATTCTACAAATAGATTCACTCGCTCGCGCGTTGATATTTAGCGTATATATTAAAGGCATGTGCGCAGTACCGAGAGAGGCGCGCGAATCTCGCCTAAATTCACCTGCAACTTATCCTCTCCGCTAAATACGCGTGTAAAGCTCTCTCTTTCTCCGGGATTCGCGTTCCGATGGATTTTACGATTAGCGCGCGGTACGCAACGAGGGGGGGGGGATTTCGTTTGCTTCGATCGTAACGATAATTTCTCGTCAACCGTGACTCGCCTCGAATCGCTGTATTATCAAATTGTTTTTTAACGACGATATTAAAATACGATTGTGTTTTTTTTGAACTTACGCTCGAACGAAAACGAGAAAATTTAATGCAAACAAAGTACAAGCTCGTGAGTAGTTTATACAATGTATTAGCCGTCTGCTTAGACCTCCATGGCTCTCGTCGCTTTGGAATTTTTCCTCTTTTTTTTTCTTTTTGCTCTCGTCCGAGCAGGCACGTTATATACTTTACTACTTCTCTTCTTCTTCCTATTTTTTTTGCCGTTCGCTGCGCGATTCGCACGCCTGCGCCGTCATTTTTTTTCGGTATGCTTTTCTCTTTACCGATTATGGATTATATACGTGTGTGGGTGCTTGCGAATAAACTATCGCAAGTTACTTTGTATTATACGGCGTCTTTTTTTATCAGTTCTCGGCTCGTAGCGGTCGTTTTTTTATATATTTCCGAGGCTCGGCTTACATATTGCTCGTAGTAGTAGTAGTAGTCTACTGCATTTTGATATTTTTACTGCTTTTGTGTCTCTCGTTCGACCCGATGTGGCGAAAGATATCGGCCTATTGCGTTCAAAGTTACGTCAGGTAATTAATGTTGCGGAAAAACGTTTGATAAATATTGCGTTTAAAACGTAGTTTCTTTTTTTTTTCAACAAATCACTCGTTATAGAAAATTTTAGAATACTTGCCATATCGAATTTGCCGCGGGCGCGATCGATTTTACATATGGAAACGAATAAATCCTCTCTCTCTCTCTCGCGTCGATCGCCGAGACAAATTCAATCCACGTATAAATATTAAAGCAATCTCTCTCTCTCTCTCTCTCTCCATTCATAAAAAACTTTTCGCCCCCCTTTTTTTTATGAACAACCGAAAATAAAAAGCTGCGCTCACCCAACTCATCTGGAAGAGGGCCGCCTCCTCGGCTCGACGTACATACAAAAAAAAAAAAAAAGGAATAAGCGGCGTTGAGCTAGTAGTACGCGCGGTGCAAAACCCTCCCCACCCGACAACCGTTCATTTTCTCCAAAAATACACGTTTCTCTACTCTTTGCGCGGCGCATATGCACGTGGATTCTCTGTACTATACTGCCTATAAGCTTCGCAGATATGCGAGCCGCCGCTTCTCTCTACTGTACGTATAGCAGCAGTGGAAAAAGGAAGGGCTGAAAGCTCCATTGCAACAGAGGCAGCCGTTTTCTCTCTCTCTCTCTCTCTTTCGTACGCGTTCGGTGTATATACGAGTGTGCGGAGCTTGTTCGTTCGTACACGTATGTGTGTGTGTGTGTGTGTGTGTGAGCCGAGTTACGCTTCATCGACGACGTTTTCCTCTATATATCTATATACACACGTGCAGAGAGCGAGCGAGCGCAGTCGACAATGGCACACACGGGGTCGCCGACCGACAACTATATACATACACACACACACACACACGTACGTACGTATGTGCGCGATGCCGCCCGCGAATCAATTTTCAAGCATTACATATATCAGGTATACACACCGCCACCGCCGCCGAGTGCGCGCCAGTGTAGTGCGTTGTAAAGCGAAGTAGTCTCATTTTTCAAATCGAGAGCGAGTGAGAGATAACTTAAATACATCGTTTAAAATGGCAATAAGCTCTCCGAAGCACAAACGTAGTATTATGACATTTTCTGCGAATGTAAATCGCTCTGGTTTTTCCCCTCCGACGATCCTCAATGACGCGATAATGTTTGATCGCAAAGCACTATTGAAAATTACGTCGTGTACGTGCCGCGTGTTGTACTATTAGACTACTACTACTACTATTACGAAGAGTAGTAGGGAGAAAACAAGAGAATAAAAAAAAAGTTCGCGAAAAAAAATTCAATTCGAATGCAGCCAGCTATGTGTGTGTATACGCAACGCACAAAAAAAAAAAAAGAGAAGAAGCACGGAGCGATGTCGATATCGCGATACCATATCCATGCGGACCACATATTCACGCCGCACAATGTGTGTACGCATCGCTCGTTTAAACACTCAATATTTGCTTTTCCAATGTTTTCGTTTTAGGTTTTGGGGGATTTCTCTCTCTATCTATCTCTTTCTCTCTGACTCTCGGGCCGAATTTGCAAGGGAAAAATGTCGAGAGTTGGAATTTTTCGTTGTTGTTGTTGTTGTTTGATGAACTGACAATTGATTTTTCTATTTCCTCTCGCAGATACGCGCGCGCATCGCTCACGCAGAGAACATTATAAAGTTAACTCGTACTCGCGGCGTTAATTCGAAAACGAACGCGCAGACACGGAAAATTGCGGCTAAATGCTTTATGAAATTCATTCGTGCGATCATCAATGGGTCAATTAGTTTTTCATTGCGTTGTTAAGTCGATTTGGCCGATTTTACGGCGTACTGTATAAGAACGTCAAAGTGCGGGCGAGCGCAACGTATGCAAATGTTTTTTCGGGTGGGCGAAAAAAATGCGTTTACACCGAAAGACGGATGAGTGAAGTTATTCTCCGTTTTATTTATTTTTTTTATTTTTTTTCGCGTTGCTTGTTTAGCCGCATGATAAAATAGAAATATCGTCGTTCATATTTCATCGCTCTTACTACTCAGCATTTTCATGCCTTTTTTTTGTGCTTCTTCTTTCTCGTACACACAACGGCGGCAGCAGCAGCAGCAGCAGCAGCACACAACAAAGTATAGACCATCACAAAAAAGAGGTGTATATGGAAGTGTACGTACAAAAGAAATTTCAACTGCTGCCATTGCAGTATACGCTAGCTTCAGTCTGCTGGTCTGCGCGGGGGCTATATACACCCGCGTAAAATAAAAACAAATGGCACCTATAGCTCGCGCGTACACACGCATACACACACACACACACAGTGTCAGAAAAGAGATAAGGGTGTAAGCCATACGCATATATTCGTAAGCTCGAACCTACATCCCGGGCACGTACGATGTATATTAAAAAAAGATCCAGAAGTTGAACTTTTTTTGCGCTACCCGATGCAGCACGAGCTGTGCTGTGTATAGACTTTTTAGGAGTTTAATGCTTTTCACTTACGAAAATGCGTTTTCTTGCCGAGCGCACACACGCACACACGGTATACACACGTTCAATTGTGCGCAAAATAAAAATTCAATGCTCTCTAAGGCATTCGATAAAATTCACCTTGCCGCCACCGCTACCGCAGTGAGTGAAAATGTTCGCATCGCTTTTCGATTTTGAGTTTTAAAGCCTCTCCAAAAATAAATGCAAGTTCACTGCTGGACCTCGGCCTCGCTATGACTCTCTTTTTTTTTCTTTCATTCTTTCATCATCTATCTCTCTCTCTCTCTCTCTCTCTCATTCTCTCTCCAACTCGTAATAATACTTGACTCTCGTGAATAATTGCGAACTTTTTTCATCAAGATTCCATATTTCGTAATACGATATTGCGCGCGCGCGTTGGTGTTGCGCGAGGTCATAAATAAAATATATACGTATAATACGAAAAGACAAATTAAAAAGATGCTTTAATCACTGTATTATACAGGCCGGAAAATGAGCAAAAAGAGTTATTAAACCGTTTCCAGTAATTTGCGAACGAGGCAAGCGCAGCAGCGCACTCCAGAGGGTTGAAAAGTATTCATTTCGAAATTCGCGTTCATTTTCATTCCAAGCTCGTAATTCGATGCTCCGCTCCGTTGTGTGTGTGTGTGTGTGTGTGTGTGTGTGTGTGTGTGTGTGTGTGTGTGTGTGTGTGTGTGTGTGTGTGTATGCGAGTGAATTTGCTTAATATCTAATACGCACCCGAGGTACACACACGAGAACTGAGTACAATTTCCGAACTTGAGCTTCGAGTTTCACGACGACGCGGAGGCCTCGACGACGCACAATCGAGCTTCGATCGTGTCATTCACACCTATGTACACAAGCTCGCACACGCAGACAAAGTCAGACTCAGACACATTTCCTACCGACTTTATATCTATATAGCATTTTGCGCTTATACATCTTTTGCTGCTGCGCTGCTGCTGCTGCCTTCGCCGAGATCTCATTTGTAAGCAGGCTGCGTGCCTCGCACTAAGTGGAGAGAGAGAGAGGAATTTTATACATAGTAGCATGGGAAAAAGTGGGAGAGGAAGAAACTGCTATATACTGTGGAGGGAAGGAGAGAGAAAAAGGAGAGAAAAGTGCGCCCCGAAAGAGAGAAAGCGATAAATATATTTCTAGACTTTGTTTCGCAAGTATTATACATTATGTGTATGTATAGTAACATGTATATAATGTGTGTTTATATATCGTATTATATATATAAGAGCAAGTAGCAAGAGGAGATACTCCTCCTCTTCTTCGCGTTCTGTTTTTCTTTTTTTTTTTTTTTATTCTTGAGAGGAAATGACAACGGCGTCGTCGTGCGGTAGCTTTGGCTTGAATTTCCGGTGACATAAGTTCGTAAGATTTCGCGCGCGACTGCGAAAGCAATGCACACACACACACACACACACGCACATACGATGCAGGAAACGGAGTGAGTCGACTCTCTCTATAAGCTATATAAGTCAAAAGATATGCTCGTTAAAAAAAGAGAGAGAAAAAAAAAGCAATCAATCAATCGTTCGTTAGATCGAAATTGATTATGCATTTAAGCCGTGTTATAATGGAATAGCGTCGATATAAACGCGTCAGGAAAAAAAATAGCTTGAACTTGACTCGTTACAAATGATAGTTTAGCATCCGATGTATATTCTCTCCCCTTGAATAAGCTCCACTCCACTCGTATATCGGTGTAAAATAGAGTCTCTCTCTCTCTCGAACGTCACGCCCCGAATATAACCAACTACTATGTATGTGCGGCGCATGAAATACACTCATGTATATTTGCCGCCGTTTTATCGATGCGCTACCTTACAGTATACACGTAGGTGTAGGTGTAGGGTAAAAGAGGAGGTGTAGGTAGTAGTCGCGCGTCCAAATCGAAGCCGCTTCTCTTCTGCGCTGGCGCGCTCGTATTAATACGGTTTCTCATAAACAATATCACATAGAGAGATAAGGATTATTATCGACATTAGTTTTTTGCGCGTTGTCAAACATTCCTTTTTCCACTCGATGCGGTGGGTATTTTCGGACTTTGATCGTTCCGGAGAACGTCGTCGTCGTCGTTTACGATGTCGGGGCAGAGAAAACGCACTCGTAATAACAATGCCGCGAAAGAGCGAATGTGTAAAGCTGAAGTATTATGTGCATCAGCGTCAGCGGGAGCAGCAGCAGCAGACGCTCGCGAGAGCGTGAGCGCGCGCACGCAGCACGCGGTTTCGGAACAAAGGAAATGTGCCTCTGCTGTGCCTGCCTCTGTGTGCGTCTGACTCTCCTCTCTATGTGCATGTGGTGGTTGGTGGTGGAGGACGTGTATATGTGCGTTCGCGCGCGGAGCTATTGATTGCCGGCGCGTTGTAGCTTCGTAGCCGCTGCCGCTGCCGCTGCTGGTGTGCTGCGCGCACATTCCGAGCGCGCATCGTCGTCGTCGACGACGAGTACTACGACGACGACGACCATCGGACAGAGAGGGAAGTTCGAGAGAGACAGACGGAGAGTTATATATGTATGTAGTGGTAGCTGGCGCGCGTGCAGGAGCTATATAGCCAGCCCCCGACTTCGTGCGCAATATATATACACATGTATTCGTCGTGGTAGTATGGCAGGCAGGCACGAGCAGAAGGACGAAAGTAGAAAATTGCTGGTATATCGCGCGGCGCATTGGGTGAAAGCTCGCCCGCAATCCGACTATACATCCAAAGCTGCTCTCGACGACGAGTGCATTTATGTGTGCTGCTGCAGCCGCGAGCGCCACGTGATGATGATGCGCGTCGTGCAATGTGATAATCATGACGACGATGATGATGATGATGATGATATTCGTCATCGACTCTGTGTGTGTGTGTGTGTGTGTGTGTGTGTGTGTGTGTGTGTGTGTGTGTGTGTGTGTGCAAGCACGCGTGACGCGCGAAAAGTCATTGCAATTTTCGATGTCATATCATGTGGAGCCTCCCGCCACGAAATGTGCACGTGGACGCCTGCGCTGGAGGCTTTGTTGTGTACGCGTCGACGAGCGATTCGATAAGTATTAATATAAAGTCACACGGCCGGGCAGGTAGTTTATACGCGATATTTTACAAGTATGTAACGCGACGATTGTTACGCGAAGAGCTGCAAAAATGTTCTTCCTCTTTTTCTTCTTTCTAGGCGCGCGCGCGCGATGATCACGACGCGAAGTGGAAAAAAAATGCGAGAGAGAGAGAGAAAAAGGGGAAGAAGAGAGAGAGCAAGAGACAGAGATAGAGAGGAGTCAGAGAGGACAAAAGACGCGCGCGCACACAAGTGTGTAGTAGTGCAGCGAAGAGCGACTGCAATCTCTACCTCTATGTTGTGTGTGTGTGTGTTTCTCTGCTGCTGCTGCTACTCTGTGGTATATTATACGGTTAGGTATAGAGGAGGGTCGACGTCCTGTAGCGTCTCACGTGTGTTGCCTCTCCTCTGCCTATATAAACCCTCTCTTGTACGATATGCACATTCTGCTGTGCCCGTACTGCTGTGTTCTGCCTGCCTGCCTGACTCCGTGTGTTCGATCCCCTCTTTTCGTCTTCTGTTTTCCTCCTTTTGCCGCCGCGCCGCGTCTTTTCCTCTTGTCCTTCCTCCTTTTCTCTCTTTGCACTCCGTGTATATACGCTATATAGCTGCGTATATATATATAGTAGGGTACGCTGCCTGGAAACTTGGCCACCTTCTTTCCTCTGCTGTTCGCCTGATCTTCTTGCCAGTCGCCCTTTTGCCTCTTTCTCTCCGTTAGAGAGAGAGAGATTATTTCCATCGAGCCCTTCTGCAGTGCCCATGTGCGCAGCAGTAAAGTGTCGCTATATCGACGTTAATGCACTCGATGCACGAGAGACAGGTGCGAGCCCTTTACCGCGTATATTATATATAGCCCGATGACGATGTGCTTCGTCGCAGTCTGTGAATTATCTTTTTTTTTTAATTTACTCTATTGCTCGGATTCAAAAGAGATTTTTGCGTTCTTTCGTAAGGCTTTTAAATTAATCGTGACTAATTGAAACATTATGACTTTTGCAGCGATCTTGCACAGGATCTGAATCTTTCCGAGACCAGCGACGAGGAAGAGGATGACAGGAAGTCAAAACAATTTCCAGTGGACAGTCACATGAGTATGGAGAATAATGGTCCAAGTCAATGGTTGTTAGCCGAAGCTTTTGCGGGCTCGACAAAACCAATGCCGCCTAAACTTACCGCTCCCAAGTGTCTCTCAGGCATACCGCCACATCATTCGCAACAAATACAACAAATGCAGCAACAACGACAACAGCAGCAGCAACAACAACAGCAGCAGCAACAACAACAGCAGCAGCAGCAACAACAGCAGCAGCAGCAGCAGCAGCAGCAGCAACAACAACAACAACAACAACAGAGCGCACCAGCTCCCTCGCCGAACGAGGCGCCTGCCTCGAGCCAGGAGAGAACCGCGAGCCCGGCCAACGATTCCGGAGACTCGTCGGCGAGCTCGGGCAGCGCTTCCGAGAGCTCCGAGTCGTCCGAGTCGTGCTCGTCGTCGTGCTCCGACAGCTCGGACGACAGCGACGACGACGACAACGACGGGGCCTCGGCCTCCAAGCAGAAGAACTCGTCGTCGTCGGTGGCCGACGCCGCGGCCGCCACGGTCAAGGCGTCGCCGGTCTCGTCGCCGCTGAATCCGATCTCGCCCAAGATCGAGGTGCCCGTCGTGCCCGAGGTCGAGGAGACCAAGCCCCGATGGAATCTCGGCTCGTTCTTCAAGGCCGGCCAGCCCGATTTCAAGCAGGAGGACACGACGACGGCGCAGACGACGACGACGTCGTCGTCCGCGTCGTCGACGCAGCAGCAGTTGAAGCAGCCGAAGATCGAGCCATCGTCGGCTCAGTCGCAGATCGCCGACAGCGGCGGCAAGGCGCCCGCCGAGCGCAGATCGTCGAGGCAGACGCGCGACTGGGACAGCGTCGTCGACGCCAACAAGAGGAAGAACAACATGGACATCGCCCAGCAGCTGTCGCTCAGCAGCTCGAGCGAGGACGAGGGTCCTCCCAGCAGCAACACCGCCAAAGCAGTCAAAGAATCACAAAAAATACAGGTAATAATTTTTGTTCACCTCTTGGAAAATGTTCACGCGATACTCGATAGCTTTAGTAAATTGTACATATAGTAATTAGTTGATTCAAATCTTTCACTGCTTGACAACGTTTAGAAAAACGTTAAAATATTTTTCATTAAAATATTTGTCTCGATAACAGTTATTAAATATTCAAGCCTTGAGCAATGAAGGTTTTTTCTTTCTGTTTCTCGCCGTTTTGTCTCGTAAGCCATGGGAATGCTATAACGATCGAAATTTTTCCAGGTGCCTGAAAAACCCAAAGCTCCAGACGCTAAGAAGCGTGGACGGCCCCGCAAAGTTGACAAAGCACCACCAGCCCCGGCACCGGTGGAAGTTCCGAAGAGCCAAACAGTCAACAAGCGGCATCAGACCACGAGCAAGCGCGCCACCAAGAGGAGTCCGAGTCCCGCGAAAAAGACCAAGAAGCCGATCAAATCGGCTCCCACGTTGAGTGACACCAGTTCCAGTGGCGAAATGGACTCGAGCGAAAGCGAGTCCGAATCTTCCAAGAGCGTCAAGAGGCCGACTGTCAGCGCAGCCAAGGACAGCAAATCCAACAAGAGGAGCCACCTGAGCAGCAGCGACAGCGAGGACGAGAGAGACAGTTACGACAATAAAAATCGAAACAAAAAGTCTGGATCGAAGCAAACGATACAGAGGGAAGCATCATCCAAGGTTGACAAATCGAGTGCAAAATCCAAAGGAAGAAAGCCACGAAAAATCACAAGCGCAGCTGAGTGTCCCACGGACACCGACAGCGATTCCGACCATCATCAGAGTCACCGAAAGGTAAGTTGCATGTTTGCTTTTCTTTGTTAAAGTAGAACTTTTAAAATCTTGAGTATTTCATTGATCAGCCTTTGTAATCTCGAGAATTGTGGAAGCACTGCTCTAATAATTGTAACTGCGCAGTGATTATCACAATTTCCAATGAAACTATTCTTCAACTAGCATCCGTTCTGTTCTCAGGTCGCAAGAGTACAACCTCGGCCGCGAGTTCCCCCAATGCCAAGTTCCAATGAAGACTCGGACAGCGAAAACGATATGGGTAGACGTCCAGAAGAAAGCAGTGGAAATGGCAAAGGCAAAGGAAAGAGCGGTGGTCAGGACAATAAGAAAAATGCTCTACTCAGATTATTCGGCGATCGAGGAAGCAAAGGTGGCAAAGGAGGCAAAGGAGGAAAAGGGGGCGGTAAATGCGGCATTTATGTCGAAGAATACAACACAGATGGATTATACAAGTCACAAATCGAACCGGTACCACAAATTTGTCCCGAAGAGGTCAAAAGTGATAAGCCATCAAATCCTCTTCCCCCGGCTAAAACATCATTCAAGTGCTCCATCAATCTTAAAAAGCTTGGGATGGACGCCCAAACCTTCTTGACGGAAGTGTGCAGAATGCAGAATCAAGGAAACGTACCCAATACCAAATCATACTCAAGGCCGCAGAGCATCGAAGACAGCCAGGCCACGACGAGTAAAGTTCAATCTGACAAAAAGAAAATTAATCGGAAACCCGACACGGTCTACAAACCATCGGTAGACAGCAAACCCGAATCTTTGCTTGGCGATGGTCAAAAGAAAAGAAAGCGCAAAAGTAGTATTGGTGATTTAGTTGATTCCAAAAGTCGATCAGATCTGAAAAGCGAAAAGAGAAAACGGAAAAGTAAAGAGAGCGAAGAAAACTTATTGTTAGTTAACCATCAGAGTGAAGTTTTGCCTACCAATCACGAAAGGGACATAAAAGCTCACTATGCTCTTATGAATACACAACCCAAAACTAGTTATAGAAATTTTTACAGTGAACATATAGAAGATATGGAGAGGTAAATTATTCGAATTTTATTTTCTATACCTAAAAATTCACTGTAACTAAATTATTAATGAATGTTGTTTCTTTTTTAATAGCTTGAGGACAAACTACAATTGTCAAGAACACTACCTAACAGAAGCAAAACGTTTAAAGCATCTGGCTGATGCAGAGCCAGATCATACTACTCAGTCTTTACTTTATTTGGAATGTGGCATGTACTTCGTATTGACGGGTTACATTATGGAGCCGGGTATGGATCGTGCTGCATTCAGAATGTACACAGATACTTTGGTGATCATCAAGTAAGTTTTTTAACTATTTAAAAAGTGATAGATAATAATCATATCATGATTCTAATCAAATGTCTATTATAATTTTAGGTTTATGGCCACAAAGTTAAGTGAAAAGGTCGAAAAAGCAGAAGATTCGATAGGGAAATTAACTAATATCAAAATACTAATTTTGAGGTAATTTAATTTGCATACATTTTTTAAATGTGTTGTCTGTAAAATGTTTGAAAACAAACCAAACTTTCTTCTTCTAGCTTATGGGTCCAATCAATTTTATGTCAGAAATTATACAACATGTCGTTCAATGAGTTGAAGGAAACGCACAACGTCATAAGTGAATACTGCCAAAAAGTACGTTGCTTTTATTAATCTTAAATGTTTATACTTTACATTAAATGATCCAAAAACTAAAGAATATTTTTTCCATCGTTTAGTGTTTGCCTTCTGCTATTCAACAAGAAGGTCAAGCAGCCACGCCATGTCTGTCTCCTACACCTTCTCCTGCAGGTTCAGTCAATTCCGTGAACAGCCAAAGCAGTGGCTACAGCAGCGCAGAATTTGCAAATCGAGTATCCGTGCCGACATTATTAACGATGCCCGTTAATGTTCAATCAGCACTTTACAAATACCAAAAAGATATGGGCTTTCTGATGGGAGCTCACGAAAAATGGGACAAAGGATGTGCACTTGTGAAAGACCTCAATTGCGGTAAGTTTATTTCACAGTTAGCATAGTTTCGATGATGAATTGGTGTATTTACAGTTAGATAATACAAAAATTCCTTTTTATTCAGGTTTTTTCAAAGAATTGGATAGAAGTTATGGACCACTTTCGCTTCAAAGTTCGCCTGCCGATTTGGCTCGTTACGTGCAAGCAGGGATCAAGAAAATACGAGAGCTCTGACCCACGTGGCTACAACAATACCAAATGGAGTCGAAACCATCCACTCCAACAACTACGTACGTGAGCCCGCTATCTCAGTACAGTAATAGTAATAGTCGATCAACCATTTGCACTTAGGAAAATTTTACGGAGTTGTGAGATAATGGTGACTGCCTCTTTTCACACTAAAACTGTTTGCATAACGAACAATTTCAGAAACTGAAAGGTCTTGCCCTATTTTAATTAAATTAAAGAGCTCAGTTTTTTCAAAACTACAGAATAGTTAACTATTCTAATTTAATCACAATTAACGGATCATGCTTTGAAGTTCTTTGACTGAAGCCAAGGGGTTTTCAACAGATATAGAGTCAAGTCTTCCGTATACAAAAGCCAATGTATGAAATATTTTTTCTCACTTTTTAAATCGATTAATTTTATAATGCGAGACATAACATATGTTTTCACTATACATTTCATTTCGAAAGTACTTAGTTGTTTTTGTATCGCACGACCGTTATGAAGAAAGAGAGCTCGATTTTTAAACAAAGTTCTAATCTTAGAAAAATATTATTCAAATCTTATTAATCAAATCTTATTAAATGAATCACTTCATTAATATAATTATTTAATGAATGATATTCAGTAGCAGTATTTAAATAACTTATTTAGACAGCTTATAAGATTTAGGAAATTCCCTATTACCATTTGACTATTCGTGTTTTATTTTGAAATTAAAAACATTAAGTGATTTAAAGTGAATAAGATTTGATCTTACTTTAGTTAATTATATTGTTATTGTTACTGACATTAAAAAGATGTGTGATAAAAAAATTTCGCGTGTGAGCAATTCATGGTCTTAAACAAGAAAGTGCCACAAAGAGAATCGTGGAGGTTACCTGAAGAATTAGGACAAACAAAACCTAAAGGCTTTTTGCTGTCTAACTGATAGAATCAACTACGTGTATATAAGGAGAAATAAGAATCACAAAACAGAATAGTTTATTACTTTTACGAAAGAAATCATCTAAATTATGATATACATATATACATAAATATATATAAAAGTATGAAGATATTATATCGTGCATAATTTATTCGCGTATTTAGAAAATGACGAAAACACCACGTGTAAATTTTTAAATAAATTGTGTTTTTGTTGTATTCTAACAAAACTTAAACTTCAATCGTCATGAAAATGCATATAATGGTAGATAAAAGGAAAATTAAATGATGATTGTATTATGTTACCAAGTTTCTGAACTACCATGATACAAATGCCCCTTGGTAACATAAAAAACGTCGTTATGAATACAATTCTATATATAAACTCATGTATTTAGTAGATTAAATAAAAAAGAAAAAAAGAAAAAATAATAAAGCAAATAAACTGAAAAATGAAATATCGGAGAAATGGTAATTAATATGTACAGTCGGAAAAAATTAACGACTTTTAACATTCTTTATCACAATATGATAGAAAAATATGGCAAGTATACAGAAGTGATTTTATTAGAGAAAAAATAAATGTACATGAATGAAATGATTTGTGTATAGAGTATTAATTATCAAAAGCACAACAATATGGTTTTTGTCTGTGAATATGATATTTTTATTTGTATTTGTACCATAAAACACATTGTAAAAATTAAATAATGAACTTAAATATGAGAGGTTAAAAAAATATAACTCCTCTCAAGGCCTTACGTTTAGACTTGGAAAACTCAGCAAATTTGTATTTTGTACAATTGATAAGTAATAGTAATGATCAATTAGCTCAGTAAAAATTATATTTGAATTACATGAAAAATACAGCTGAGTTTTGAATAAATAGTCGCGTCAGGCCTCATAGTAAATGAATGAAAAGAGGTCGTTGATATGCACAGGCAATGAAAAAAGACGAGTAAGCATTGCGTATGATAATTCTTTTAAACATTAAGATTAATACGTTAAAAAAGAGATGTATTATACATAGAAAATTGTAAGAAATCTTTAAAAAAACACTAATTATCAAAGAGCTGTAAGTCTGTAACTTTGTAAGTTTTTTGCTCATATACTCGTGTATATTTTTGTAAATAGAAAATATTAAAATATTATTATAACTACAATAATAATTATTAAGATAATTATTACTATTGCTATTATTATTTTTGCTATTATACTTATTTTAATTATTGCTATTATTATTATATTTATTATTATATTATGATTATTATTATTATACTATTATTATGATTATTATTATTATTATTAAAATTGTTATTCATATGTATTTCGATATTGTTCTTTACGAATACTATTATTGTTATGCAATATGACTTATCTTTTAAATAAATGAGGTAATTGCATAAAGGTAATAGCTCATCGCGTTGTTTTGATAAAGACACAGAATAAACTCGTATTCTTTAAAAAAAAATCTTAATATTTTTGTCTTGTAAGTAATGGTGCTTGAAAGATATCTCTTTTGCTGGCCCTTTCATCTTCATTTGTTGTCATTACAAACTGTACTATTTACAACTTTAATTTGAAGAATTGAGATTAGCATTTATTTGTATTTTTTCTGGTAGAATACAATTGTAACTTCTCATTCTCAATAAATTGTTTTTATATCATTCCCAATGATTGTCAATTAAAATTGAATTTTTTTTTATAAAATGGGAGTAAAATGTGCGGTCCAATGGTTCACGGGAGACAATTTGTTAATAAAACGTTACTTGGAAGGCTTTTAAAGCCACTGGGAAGTACTCCCGAATTGTACATACGGAATACATAATAATCGCATAAAACTGATTATTTAATGAAAAGTGAGAAGTGTATAACTATTATTTGGTAAAATGCATTTGATTTTAGCTTCGAAAAATATACATTGTAAAATAAGTTTTCTATGCCATGCAATTTCTATATATATATAAAATATATTTAACAAAGAACAGTAGTTGAAAGATCCGTTGGCTGTAAATATGTATATGTTTTCGCGTGATTTCTTTTCCTTGTATTCAACTACAAAAGATGGAATATCATTAAATCTGAATTGAATCAAGAAAATTTTTTCGATTTTCTCATATTATCATTTCATAACAACTTTACGTTAATATTTTATAATTGAATTTATAATTGAATTTATAATTGTAATTTAATAGCCAAAAGTAGTGAAAAAATTGCAAGAAATATGAGAAAACTGAAATCTGTTAACTTGTGAATTATTATTGTATTACTTATTGTAATTCATTTTAAATATAAATTATATAAATGGGTCTCCCTTTTTCCATTTTAAATATTGAATTATTTTCCATGACTGCACATCGATTTTCAGTTTTTTTTTTTTGGTTTTTCAATTTTATTACATTTCACTGTGAAATCGCTCTGATTTGATAATTAAATTTTATTTATAATTAAAATTATGCGATTGAATCTACTTTAATTAAACTTGAATAAAGGCTTTTGTAAACTATATTGAACCTATTACGTTGTTACGATCGTCGTTAGTATCGATTAATTTAAAAGTTCAGGTGTTTGATGTTTTGAGTCAAATTATGATTATTATTCTGTTATTGTAATTAATGTAATAATTATCATTATCATTATTAGTATTATCACTCATTATTATCAGTATAATCTCTATAATAATTTTTAAATATACGGCCTAGTGCATGTTACTTTTGGCACTGTAATAAAAATACAAATCAACAGTTGCAGCGTCACGTGTACATACAATTCGTAAAGTTAAAAATGTTTGTAAATGCGCAATTACATTTATAATTATAAAATACATGATTCGATTTCTATTTAGTAATTATTTTACCAACAAATAAACATATGAAAATTATTAATAACTCGTTTTGTTAATGATATCATCATCAGTTATCAAAAAAATTTTCTCAAACATTGTTTTTTTCACGGATACATTAGTATCGAAATGGCATGCATCAATTTCAACGGTGTATCTTTTGAAATTTTCCACCTAAATGCGTAAGCACAATGTAATGTCATCCTAACAATTTTGACATCATAAAATTCAGCTGTAAATCCGGTATTTACCGATACATAGAGCCGCCTGAAACTATTCATATCTTGGCGAATCGATCTAAACCACAGAATTCGTGTATATTATGGTGCGTACAGTGCCTACTATTCAAATCGCTTATCGATCCGTATTATGGGGTTCCATATCTTTTGATTTTATCGAAACAGTTACATGAAGTAAAATAAATAAAATGGATAATTAAGCGTTGTTGCGATCACCTTTTCGGCAGCTTTCTTTTTTAACGAATGATTTATTTAAAGTTAATCTTTTGCAATCGAGCGTCAGAAGTTAAACTAATGGTAACTTCTGTAGTTAATTATTGACAGCAAAGTAGTAGTAACAGTGATATGACGAACAAAATTTTTCCACTGTCTCAATCGAAAAGATCTAATTTTTTCAAAGTAATGCGTCTTCAGGCGCATTTCGTGCTTTCGGAGCGTCTAATTGCTTCGCGAGCTCATGCTATTGTCCGGCGCTCCAGAATGCAAAGATGATTTTTTTTTTAAATTATGCGTGTTCGTTTGTGGAACGCTGTTGAAATTTCAATTCCTTACGTACTTTCTTCGGCAGTTGCTTTATTACAGAATTCGTTGGGTATTGTAACAAGATTCATCGTAAAAAAACGGATCGTATTCGATCACGAGCTTTTCGATTTCATCGACAGATGGGGCATGATAAATCCGCAAGTGACAAAATGTTCGCTGGGTATATAATACACAATTATTTAATGATATTTAATGACGCATCAGATTAAAGCATCATGGAAAACTCATTCAGTAAGAGGTTTTGGCTCAAGGATGTCCGGATTATATTCAGGCTAAAATATATTGCAAACGATTATGTTAAAAGCTCCGAGAAGCTCGATTAGTTTGACAGGCCAGTGCATCGCTTGTATAATAGCCGATTAGCTCGCCGAGGCTACGATCAAAATCACGATCTCGTTCAGTCAATATAAATAAAGTAGACTCTATGAAAGGCAGAACGATCCGAAATCAGTTTTGAAACTGGCCGAAATTCGAACGATGTGTTATACACGCGTATTATACGTCGATCGCTTCGCGTTACAACTGCAGTCGGGAAATCGGAGTGTTCGAGCCTCTTTCTTTACAATATATATAGGTACGTTACGCGGTTACGACTGTCGCTCGCGCGCCATCTGTCGGCCGAACTATTCCTCACCACTGCGCCGCCACTGCGAATATACGTACTACAGCGTAACATCGTATATAAATACCTCGGAGGTACAGGGAGGATATAATACAGGTATCTATACAGCGGTTGAAACCGGTTTGCAGGATATATCGCGCGCGCGACTGCGGCGGAGTATATAAAGTAACTCCAGAAAATCGCGCCGCCGCCGCCGTCGCCGTCACTGTAAGTATAGGTACTGCGCCGCTCACGCCGCCACCGCAGCAGCCGCGCCAAACCGATGTTATAAGGTATAAGGTAGGTACTGGTACTGGTACTGCGCGTACTGTGCCTATAGGCCAAACTCACTATATACTGCAGCACACATCGGCGAGCGCGCGATACTCGCAAACTCGCTCCGAACCGCCGAGACTGGCATCAGAGTCGTATCGCGCTCTGCCGCTCGAGACATCCATACGGCGGTGCGCCAGTCGCCGCTCGACCGTCCTCGCGGGCGTCTCTTCCAGTACGGAGCACGCCAGAGAGCCCAACTATATACACATTTAGCGCGCGCCTATCTTTTTGCCTTTCTCTCTTCCTCGATTTTTATATATATACCTATACACACACGCCGAGCGAGCCTTCGGTGAGTGCGCGTGTGTGTGTGTGTGTGTACGTCAGTGTATTATCCTTTGGCTTTCTATATACATTATATATACACGAGACTCGTGTGCGCGCAGAGATCCTTCGCCGTGTGTCCAAATGTTACCTGCAAAACTGGTCCCTTCGTTTTTTTTTTTTCCACCAACTCGTTGCCGTTGCTCCTCCCCCCGCGACTCGTACTTTGATACACTCGATTTTGCGCCCGTTGAGAGAAAGAGAGTAGTTCGTTATCGGCGAAGTCTGCGCGATTCGTTATAATTCGAATCCCCCTGTGTGCGCGTATACGTGAAATTCAGTGAAAATCGTGTTCCGTTCTCAGTGCTGCGTTGTTGTCGTGCATGTCCGATCGATGGAAAAAAAAATAAAATTACTCGGTAATGATAAACATTGATCCTGCGATTCTCGCTACTCGATAATAATACATCTTCTGTACGGTGTGTTTGTGTCTCCTATACGTATAATAATATTATATATACGCGCAAACGCACGCTGAAAGTGTATACACGTACAAGTGCAACGTAATATATGTACACCAACTGCTAGCAGCAGCAGCGGTGCAGTGTGCAGTGCGTTCGGTGTGCCC